CCGATAACAATCCCGGCGGCAGGATGGAACACACGGTGGCCGAAGATGGAGGATGGAGACTGAGAACCGACACCTCTTTGCACCACGCAGAAGGAAATCGTGAAACCTCCTCCACGCGACACCCGGTGGCTAAAGAAATTCTCCATCTCCGGCAGTGGCCGGTCCGGAGAGAGGGTCTTGTGCGGTGGCGGCGAGTAGCAGGAGGGGGTAGGTTTTTCTTGAGATCTGGAGAGAGAGAGAGAGGGATTTTTTTGAGAGAGAGAGAGAGCTGTATATTTTCTTGGAAGATTGAGTTGTGTATATATTGGTGCAAAAGTATGTGGTATATGTATTGGTGCTTTTCTACCTCTATTCTATTGGCCTTAATTTCTCGACCCCAGATTATTATTACACCCCAATATCGATCTTTGCCTTTTAGTTTCCACACGTGCTTCTCTTTATTATCTCAAACCAGACTACAACCTACCTTTTGTTCAAAACTTCACTTGCCATGCCCTCATTACGTACAAAAATATAATCCTTAGTTACTCATACACGTGAATTGAATTGAATCCATGACCGTGCTACATAAATATTACGAACAACAGAGTTTGACAATGCATAGCAAGATTTCGGAATTTTACCTATCACGTCAACGGTAAAACTTACAATCCATGCTCTTAAAAAAGTAGGAGAGAGAGAGAGGGTGATAAGAAGTGATGATAATTTAAAATTATGTGAGTGGATGAATATTGAATTAAAGTAGATGTAAGAATGATTGGATGATATTATTTAATTATATCGATAATATTGAGATATTAGGGTGTGTTAAAGTTGAGTTAATGAAATTCTGAGTGAAATTTTTTGTATACAGACATGCTCGAAAAACCCTTCACTTGAGGAAACACCTCTCTTTTGAAGGTCGGCTTGCTCTGATCAAGAGCACACTCAGCACTCTTCCACTGCATCTTCTTACGATCCTCGACCCACACAAGTCCAATATTCACGAGCTAGATCAAATCCTGGCTCGTTATTTATGGGGGCATGCGGAGAGCTCCAGGAGAGGGAGAAAGGTCTAGTGAGTGAAGTAGGACTCTGTTTACCGCCCCTTCTCCGAGAGGGGCCTCGTGGATCTGGCGCTTTTCGGATGTCGTCACTGCATTTTCTTATAAGTTCTGGTGGCGCCCTAAGTCACTTTGGGCTAGTATCTTCGTCGCAAGTACTGTCCTGGAGGCACTGCCCACCCATGTAGGGTGACGATCACCAGCCGCGATAGCAGACAGTAGAGGTGGCTCATCATGGTTGATAGACATGGTCAGAAGCACATTTTCTGAACGCTGGGTGAGGGGGACATTAGCTTTTGGGATGACTGGTGGTTTGGTAAGGGTCCCCTTTCGAGCACTAGACATGTCACCCACATTTTCTTTTTGTAGGTGAAGGACTTGTGGACGGGGAGGGTTTTAGGAATAGGTTGAAGAGGATTCTGGGTACTAGAGCGGGTTTTAGCAACCAGGAGATAAATTAGATTCAGCAGATTCCCATCTCGGGGGGCGCTTTCGACGGTATGATGTGGAGACTTACATCTTCGGGTGCATTCTCTACGACCTCGGCTTGGGGGGAAGTACGGGTTGGTGACCAGCCTAACCACCTCTTAGGGGCCATCTGGACCAACCTACTTACTCCGACCATCTTTGTTTTCCTATGGCGCCTTCTTTTCAGCCGAATCTCGATTGATACTGTGATGCAGACGAGGGTCATGTTCTCGTTCCCCTCTCGTTGCTATTGTTGTGCTGAGACGTTTGACTTCCAGACTGAGACCTTCGCTCATTTGTTACTGTGAAGAGAGTGTGGGAGCATTATACAAGTTAAACTTATATACCCCTTAGATAATTTTTTTGACCTTTTCTGAGTTTATTGACGCAGCGCACACACGATAAACACGTGGGCTTCCTTACTCCTTGTCTGATCCTTTGGTTCACCTGGACAGAAAGGAATAATGTGAAGCATAGGGATATTACGTCTTTGTAGTCCCATTGCAGGTTGACCGACACATATCTCTCCTCAACGCTCTGTGCAGACTCACCCCGAGAGACTGGATAGGCTACACGCCACCCCATCGCTTTGCACCGCCTCCACTACTGAATGTCCGGCACCCATACCCCAGAGCTGTTGTTTGGCTGAGACTCGAGCCCCCTTGGGTTAAGCTAAACACTAACAGATCATTTGACCGACTTACTGGAGCTGCCGGAGGCGGGGGCTGATCAGGGACCATATATGTGCTCTTATTACCGCTTTCAATGCTCTCCTTGGAGCCTCCGAGAGCTGTGACGCAGAGGTTTAGGCGCTTCAGATCAGTCTACAGATTGCTGCCTTGATCTCCACTCACATTTGGATAGAGTTGGACGCTGCTTCTGTCATCACACTCTTGACCTCTGGCCATAAGGACCCGTTGCAGATTCAACATTCTCTTATGCGTATCAGAGCTACACTTCAGTCGATTCGCTATCAGATCTCATGCATTTTCGTGAGGGGAATCGACTTGCTGACTTCCTTGCTGGTATTGGGACCTCCACCTCCCAAAGGCGCATCATCCATCCTGACGATATTCCTCTTTGCCTCCGTACCTTATACGAAAGGACCAAATGGGATACCCTTCATTCAGGTTTGCATAGCTGTCCATAGTTGTTGTTGTCCCTGGCCTTCCGTGGTGTGAACTTTTTGCCTGGACTTTTCTCGGACCAAGATCTAGCATCTTTTGTGTTTCTTACTGTTTTGTATCTTTTTTCTTGTTTCTTATTTGTTTTCGTTTGACTTGCTGTATATCAAACATTAATCTTGTAGACTGTGACTTTTTCAGCCCATTTAGGGCCTTATTTATATACAGGTTGGGAGTTTGACCTTAATCCTCCACCTTCCATTTGGGGTGTTGTTCTGTTAAAAAAAAAAAAAATACCCTCACCTGAGGAAGATGAAGAAGAAACCTCTCGTGCTCCCTTAAAGGTGAAAGCACCCAAAAACCCTCATCTAAGGGAGACGAAGAAGAAGAAAGCGAAGACCAGCTATCAGCAGCCGTTTATGGTTCATCAATGAGGAACGAAATTCTATCTTCTTTGCTTTTATCCTATGAATGCTTTGATTTTCCTTTAGACCAATTACTCATGTGCTTCATGTTTTTGGGATATTACGGCGTTTGATCCGAAAACAAGGCGTTGACCCTCATATTAATGTTAATTCAAGTCAAATTAAATCACGAAGAAGATCAAGCAGAATATTTCGCTCAAGACTAGAAGTTGTTCGTGTAAAGAATCAGAGAAAAAAATCGAAATATTTTAATATTCATTTGAAAAATATTTTTATGTTTATAAATTCTTTTTTTTTTTTCGAAGCTATATAGGCTTTTATAACAACAATGTACAAACATATATAATTTGAGAGCCAACTGACTCTAATCAATGGAGAACATAGTAAGATGATAAAAACATGAATATCACTCCACACATAATAGTAAGGTGATCGAAACATGAATATCACTAAACATATAATAGTAAGTAAAATTACAAAAGAGCCATTACAGCGCCCGTCATGGTTGGATACACGGATTACTACATACACGCGATACCCAACCGGACACCATACACAACGCTGCTAATCGCCAATATGTTATTTTATGCCGCAAGAAAAAAATAAAAATAAAAATCGGGGAGTGAATGAAATTCAACAAACAACACTAAACATGGACTGGGGTAGACCCATATCCCGACGGGGCCCCGGTGACCGCGGCAACCCTCCTCCCCATCCCCTTCCCCCTCTCGACCCGGCTGTTCTCGGCGAACTTGAGGCTCCCTTGGTGCAGCCCCCTTTCCTTCTCTTCCTCACTCCATTCGGCCGAGTAGTACGTCTCCTCTGTACACTCCCCGGCCGGGAGAAACATGCTCCCCCACTGTGGGAAGTGGATGAGCACCACCGGCAGCGTGCACGCCACAGCCATGATCCCCATGTACGATAGCCCGTCGGCAGTCGAGGAGCTGGCGGATGAGAAGAACAGCAGCTGGGTCAGCCCACCACCTAAGTTGCCACCAGCACCCGTAAGGCCCGAAATGAGGCCCAGTGCCCGGCGGGAGACGAAAGGGACAATGCCGTAGGTGGCCCCGCACGCGGACTGTGCTCCCATGGAGAAGAGGAGCATTGAGAGGACGGCTAGGGGGAGAGAGTCCGCCCGCCCCAGCAAGATGCAGAAGATACCGCCAAGGGTTTGGAACACCCAGAGGACCCACAGGCGGCCCCGCATCCCAAAATGGCGGGCTGCCATGTCGGAGGCGTAGCCGCCAAGGGGCCGTGCGAAGAAGTTGGTCATGCCAAAGGCGGCAGCTACGGTTCCCGCCTTGTGGAGCTTGAGGTTGAACCTAAAAGAGATTGTCGTCAAACATTATGTATATATAATTAGTGAAAAGTAGTCATGTGCACTGAACTCCTAATTGCACTACCTGTCGTGGTAATATTCAGTAAGAACGTTGTTTGAGCAGAGCTGGACTCCCATAGAGTAACCATAGATGAGGAAAAGAACCCATGTTCTATAGTTGGACACGGCACACTTGAATACCTACAAATACAACCAAAAAGTAAATGAAAATGCAAATATAGTAATGTTAAAAATTAATGCTCATTATTGGAATAATCTAGAAAATAAAATTAATGATGATAGTTGGTTGTTAATAATAAATTAGTTAGTAGTTAACCGACTTAAGGTGGTCTAGAGTTTTCCTATAGCTACTATATATATTGATGTAATCAGATGAAGTGTAGCTAAGGAGAATTAAAAAAAAAAAACAATTCACATCAAACAAATTACCATCACACTCTCCAAAGAATACACAATTTCCCATTATAAATAAAAAAAAAAAAAAAAACTTTGTCCCCCATTATTCACCTAAATATCAAGATACCAACAGTGGTATCAGAGCCCGGTTGGATCAATAACTGGGCAATATTATTTTCAATATCCTCTAAATTTTTACATATCTTGTCCAAATACCCCATTTTTCACATATCCTTCTACTTTCATATTGCATACTAAATTTCTACAATGGCCTCTTCTCAAAACACCCACCAAATACCAGTTCCTGTTTTCTCCGGCGAAAATTATAACTATTGGGCCATTAAAATGAGAACATATTTTATGTCTCAAGGCCTATG